AGTTCACAAAGATATTAGCCGGTTTCAAATCTCGATGAATTACTCCACGGCTGTGTAGATAAGCAACAATTTTTACAATCTGATAGGCCAAATACTGCCGATGAATTGGTTCCAATACATTATGCCGCAGAATTGTTGAGAGATCCGTCTCGGCAAGCTCAAACGCAAGGTAAATATCGGTGCCATTCACAGATCGTATCATGTTCCTTAAGAGAACAATGCTCTCGTGACGAAGAGCAGTAAGCAGCATCACCTCACGATACGTCCTCTGCGCATCCTGTTGGTTTCCAAACGCATCAAACACCTTCTTTAATGCCACTAGTGTATTTGTTTCACGGTCCAACGCACACCACACGATGCCGTACGCTCCGCTACCAATATGACGAAGAATTTTGTACCGCTGCTCGATTTGCCCATCGAGATTAAACGACGCCATGACCGGCAGACTCAGCAAACAATAGTAATAATAAATAAATAACTAACTTGCGTGTTTATGTACGTCCGGGAGCCGGAGGAAACCGTGAAGACGTACTCACCGGACAACTAGTACCAACAGGTGTGGGGTTGGCAAATAGTAATCGAGAAAAACACCAGCAAAAGCGCAACCGGAGGATGGAAAAAAATGTTTTACAAAACAACAACAACAAATGGGACGTTGTCATGAGACAATAAAATGAAGAATAACAACAACAACAAAAACACCAGAAGAGGGGGTGAAAGTAAGTTAAGAAAATGGGCGCTACAACACCACAGCGCCTCCTAGAGGAGCTGTCAACTGTAACTGAGGTGTGTTTACCGCAATGAGCGTCCAACCCCTCCAAAGGCTTTAAACCGCCGTTCCCTTGCCTCCCGTGCCCTTTCATCAGGCGTTTTCTCCACACCCTGCCGTTCCCCTTCGGATACAACTGGTGCAACTGGCTTGTCATTTACACGTCGCCCCCCTCCTGTGAATGGGACAAAGCCGGGCTTGGTCTGATCTTTTCCCTCTCGGTTTGTTGTCTCAGTGC